AACTGGTCTCAAGCTGGATTGTTTCTGGCAGTCTGTTCAGGCCCTAAGGCTTCTTTTTGAGGACAGGGCCATAAATCAATGGGGAAAATAATACTTTGCATACAAAAATAAAATCTCTGGCATATCCATTTAAATAAGTACTGTGTGTGACAATACTGGAGAGCCCTCATAAATCATAAAAATATTGTGCTAGTTGAATCATGGATCTGTCTCAACCTAAGAGAGTTTCATATGCTGATGTATCAAAGCTTGTACAATGTGAGAAAATATTTTCTTCAACTCATCTTCCCACATTGGCCAGCAGAGAGCAACATTTCATAAAGACATTTTTGTAAAGTTATGGAGGGAAATTCAATGTTAAGAAAGGGGAGGATATCCTGAAACTTTCCTCTGTGTTTTTAAAATAAATTAGATTTTATTTTATATTCAGAATATAATAAGATTGGTTTTCTGACACTCTCCTTGTACATTTTACTGAAAATACATTGCCTCTGGAACTTCTTGTCAATTGGGAAGATATGTTTAATGTAAAGCAAATAAATAGACTCTAAGTACAATAACTGATCACATACTTCTAAGCATCTACACTGCACCAAAGGGAACAATAAGAAATAGTTTGTATACTAAGGGCAGCTATTGATGTAGAAGAAAGGGCCATTTAAGAGTGACTCCCCCCCAGCAATGATTCAGGTTAGAGTAGTAATATCTCCTTTGTTACCTCCACACAGACCTCTGGGCAACTTCTTTTTCATAGTGTCCAATGTAAAGAAGAATTCTGAGGAATTAAAAATCCAGAAATGTTCATGCTTTAAAGATGTGTCATTTGAATACACTAAAATCTGTTTACAGTTCCAGCACACTGCTTTAAATTACAGTGGGCCCTTGGTTTCTGCTGCGGTTTGGTTCCAGGACCCCCCTGGATACCAAAATCTGTGGATGCTCAAATCCCATTATAAACAGTGCTATATAGTAAAATGGTGTTCCTTATATAAAATGGCAAAATCAAGGTTTGCTTTTTTGATTTCATATATATATATATTCCAAGCCATGCATGGTTGAATCCATGGATGCAGAATCTGTAGATACAGATGGCTGACTGTATACTGTCATGCTCATATAGCCATATTTGCACTTATCCTTGTACATGCTTTTGTTGGCACACTAATCCAGAAAGATGCTGTTTGGTGGTTCCAGCAAGACCAAGCTGTGCTGAATTCAAACTCCTCTCAGCCTAGAAATGAAATTAAGACTGCCTCATCCTGTCCTCCTTTTGTACAAGCATTGTGGCTGCGTCCCTGAACCACAAGAGGCTTGGATCTGGCATAACAAAATTCCTCCTGTACCCAACCTCCTGTTCCACCCTTTTTGGTGCTTAGCAAAGCAGTTCTGTCAGCAGATCTCTGTGATTAGATGGCAGAAGAGCAATTTTGCAAGCAGAAGTGTATGCCTACTCCTAACCTCCCACAGCCAATGTTATCTTTGAGTTAGGTTTGCATCACCAGGTTCACTTGTGTGTTGATTCCAAGTTGCTGCTTTCAGGGTGCCAGTTGTCTGTGTGCATACACTTTTGTTATTGCGTGACTCCCAAGTCCTTTTTGACTTATGGCAACCCTAAGGCAAACCTATCATAAGGTTTTCTTGGCAGATTTCTTCAGCGAGTGTTTGCCATTGCCATCCCCTGAGGCTGAGAGAGTGTGACTTGCCCAAGGTCACCCAGTGGGTTTTTATGCTCGAGTGGGGATTCAAACCCAGAGTCACAGTCCAACGCTCAAGCCACTACACCACACTGGCTCCACACACACGTTGTTTTCAGGTTGTAGTAACCCCAAAGTTTTCGTGATATGAATGTTACATTGATGAAACATAATTTCCATGCAAGTTCTATCATGGTGTCCGCATTTACTTTTCCCTTGTGTTTCAGACCATCACCATATGCAGCCAGAACAGAAAGCAAATAGGTGCTGGGGATTATTTCTGGAAATATCCTGCTTTCCTTCACCCTGGCAGGGTTAACGCTGTGAATGGGAAGAGCAAGAGGATGAAGCTGATTCTCCTAATCAGTTCAAGGACTGACTTTCTTTTCTATTTTCCATAGGAGATCAAGTTAAGCTGTCATTCTACAAGGGACCCAGCCGGATGGATTTGGGTCTTCTCTTTTTCTGGTTCCTGTCTCAGAAGAGCAGACAGCTAGAGGGTGAATGAACTAATCCAATCCTGCAAGTTGACCTGGCAGGATGCTGACTTCTGCCTCCAGTTCCTGTTTCTTCCATCACAAGAGAAAGCAGGTGGTGAGGGGGCTAGGGAGAGCTGTCTAATTTCTTAAGGTAGAGTTACACAGAAAGCAGAAATTTGAGCTACAGCTTTCATGAGTTTGATCAAGCTATGTCTCAAGTGGAACTCTGTGAATCTCTTTCTTGAGCGGAGAAGAGGCAGGTACGTTTTGGCAATGCCTGCCAGCAGTAGTCCCCATTTTCTTTTCTATAAAGCATGCGACACTGCAGTCTGAAAATAATTTTCCTATCTAGTTCAGCAAACTCGCAAATAATTTATAACCCCCTAAAGTTCCTAACTTCAACTCTTCCTTTCAAAACCAGGCTTCAACTGGATTATAGATGCTTTTTGTTTGCACCGTTAACAAATTAAAATCACTCCAAAATAACTAGCTAAGCAAGAAAAACAGTAAGTCAGTTTTCTTGTCATAGTTGTTTTATATATATATATATAAACCAAACTGGCATTTTTTAAAACAAAAACAAGATATGGCAGGTTTGAACGTATACCCAGCCATTATGTATAGCTATGCTCCATCTTCACATTGCTTATTCTTAAGTATTTTGAGGGTAAAAAGAAGAAAATTGGGACAAGTATGATTTCTTTTAAGGTCTACCAAATGCAAGAGCTTGTATAAAGATGAAGAATATTATAGAGCATTAGACCAGGAGAAGGAAACCTGGCTTCAAGTTACAATTTAGGCATGAAGCCTGTACCAATGTGGTTTACTGGTTTGAATGTTGGGGACCAGGGTTCAAATACCTGCTTAGACACGGACACTGGATGGCCCTGGGGCAAGTCACACTCTCATAACCTCTGAGGAGGGCAAAGGCAAACCCTCCTACGGAAAAAAAATCTTGTCAAGAACACTCTGTGATAGGTTCATCATAAATTGGAAACAACTTGAAGACACACAACAACAACAACAACAACAGCATGAGGCACTGATTTTGGACCAGTCTAGCCACTGTCCTACAGAGCCAGTGTAGTGCAGTGGTTTGAGCACAGAACGATGACTCCGGAGACCAGGGTTCAAATCCTTCTTGCCCATGGAAACCCACTGGGTGACCTTAGGCATGTCACACTCTCTGTGCCTCAGAGAGGGCCAAAAAACCCTCTGACCAAATCTTGCCAAGAAAAACCTGTGACAGGGTTGCCATACATTGGAAATGACTTGAAGCCAGACAACAAGAACATACACTGTCCTGCCTAACCTAGTTAATAGTATTGTGGTCAGGATGAAAATGGAAGATAACTGGTATATGTTAACTGCTATAGAAAGGATGAGAGCCAGCATGGTATAGTGGTTTGAGCATTGGACTGTGATTTGAGACCTGGGTTCAAATCCTCATTTGGCAATGGAAACCTACAGGGTGATCCTGGGCAAGTCACACTCTGTCATCCTCAGTGGATGGCAATGGAAACTCCCTTGTAAAGAAACCTGCCAAGAAAATCCCATGATAACTCCTCTAAAGAAACCTGCTAAGAAAACACCTTAGGGTCACCATAAGTAAGAAACAACTTGAAGGCACACAACAACAACAACAAAGAAATAATAATTTATTTTTGGTTCAGTGGAAGGATTCTCCACCCACCCACTATTATTTGCTATCTTCTTTCTTCACTTCCAGCTAAGTCCTTTTTAAAACATGCTTGTGAACAACAGTAAACAAGATGAGTGAATAACATTATGATCCTTCCAGATGATACAGAGTTGTTAATGGAGGGGGCATGCAAAATAATATTGGTGCTGTTGTGTGCCTTCACGTCATTTCTAACTTATGGTGACCATGAGGCAAAGTTATCGTTGTTTTCTCGGCAAGCTTCTTCAGAGGGGATTTGCCATTGCCATCCTCTGAGGCTGTGCGAATGTGACTTGCCCAAGGTCACTCAGTTGGTTTCATGACCAAACTGGGATTCGAACCTTGGTCTCCAGTCATAGTCCAACACTCAACCTATTCAAACTTACCAATTGTTGGTTGGAACCAGCATGGTGGTGTAACTACACCATACTGGTTCCCACCAACAATTGGTAAGTTTGCCAATATTTATCATGTCCCTTCCATCATCAACAACTCTTGTTAGGCTGGGAGCTTGGATGTTTTGCTGGATCTGGCATTGCTCTTGGATTCTCATTGTGCAGATGTGACCTGACATTTTCATATGTTTTGTATGCTTGCTAGTGGAAGAGAGAGATCTAGCCATTGTTCATAATTCACAGGATTTCCAAATTAGGCTGCCTTTGATGATTCAGAAACTTCAGCTGATGAAAAATGAGAAGGCTCACCTGTTGATGGGTGTGTCTCATGTTTCACCTGTTTTGAAAGAACTGTACCAGCTGCCAGTCCTTTGCATTCAAAGCATTTAGTTATGTTCGTTCTTGTTTTTGCCAGGAAAACTCTAAATAGCTCAGGTGCTGATCATCTCAGAGAACACCTTTTCTATAATGGGTAGGGATAATGTAACCCTCCAGACATTATTGGATCCCAGTTCCAAGCATTCTTCACCTTTGTCAGTACTGGCC